TTCCCAATAAAGTAGACTTTCTGTATTTCCAGTTATTTCTTCCAGGTTTCTGATAGCTAATGCCAGATGTTGTTTGTGTTAGTCTGACTGCTGAAGGTGTGCTTGTCTGTTTTGATCACGTGCCATGCAAATTGATTATGGCAATTGTTTCCTATATTCTCTACGTACTAAAATTGCAGACTCACTTCATGATATGCTTTTGTTAATTAATTATTAATTGTGTAGAAAACTTAATAGTGGACAATACCAACAATATTGAGGAGTAATTTTCATTAAAGTTTTGTCTTATGGCTTCCCAAGGTTAATGGCTTTTCCTTGGAATCACCCTTGTTCTCTCTAACTCTGAGTGTGTAGAGTTGCTTAAGATATGATACACACAAACACAACACAGTATTTCAGCACAAGCACTTGCTTTTCTGCCTAGCGAGATAAACATTGCAAAGAAGTGATGAGATTTTTATGGTAAAGCTACGTGGATGTCAGTCACTCCTGACCCTGGATTTTTCCAGACACAATGAAGTCCAAAGAGATGACACGTACTTGTAGCGGAAAAATTGGCTTTGAGTTTCTCTTTTGTTAGCAAAGACAATTTTAGTAGCAAGAAATGAGGCAAATGTGAAGTGTGCCTGCCAGTTGTGTGACATTTAGAGCTTCAGAAAGAATGCACTTGAGTGGGGGGAAAAAAAACAACGGTGTGCTAAAATACCTGTTGTTCACAGCCCATGCGTCTTCTCAGAGAGAAAAGCTCAAGAAACCCATTGTTGCTGTAAACAATCTATTCTTCAGTGATTTTCTATAACAACACTTTCCTGGGTCTAGCTGGTGTTATTTGAAACTACTCATGAAAAATGTAAGAGATGTCAAGTTGCCTTATGATACTAGCGCATGCCAAGCAGCTGAGCAGCGTTTAGGGAAACATTTAGATAAAAACCTACAAAATCGTGATAGAAATAGCATTTGATGAAGGCAGGGAAGCCTCCTTACTCTGCTGTGCTAATGAATAATGTTTGAGCAGGATGGACTTTCTCACTGCTGTTTGGACAGTGCCCTCAAATACAGATTGAAAACACTCAGCACCTCTGAAATGCTGAGGTTTCATTTGTGATGCAAGTCGTGTGTATGAGTAACAATGTTTTGTTGGTTTACTTGGAAGTCCTGTTTGTGGATGGGATAGGTTGGATATTAGGAAAGTACCTTCTTTGAAAGAGCGGTCAGTCACTGGAATGGGCTGCCCAGGGAGGTGGTGGAGTCACCGACCCTGGAGGTGTTTGAGAAACATTTAGATGTGTTACTGAAGAGCATGGTTTAGTGGGGAAGTGGTGGTGGTAGGTGGATGCTGGATTACATGTTCTTGGATGTCTTTTCCAGCCTTGGTGATTCTATGGTTCTGTGTGCAATGCACCTGTAAAACTGGGGAGAAGCTCTGATTACTGGGTTAACTCAGTGCAGACTTAATGTTTTTCCTGCAGATCATCCAGGACATGCAACGCCCCATTTTGCTGGTTTGTGTAGAAAATACTCTTGATCTCTGCACTTACAGAAAGATTTTTCTTGTGAACATAATACAGAACTGTAACGACTGGAATCTATTTACAGTCACAGGAAGAAAATAAGTGTTTTTCATTCACACACATGATTTTACTTTTTCTGTATTTTAATTTTGTCCTGTAGCAATCGGCATAAGGTTTGTTTTCCTTCTGATCTGTTTGTTGAATGAAAGCTCCTCCTAAGAATATTGCTATATGCTAGGCATTTCAGAAGTGTTTTATATCATTTAAATATGCACCTTGGATAAAAATGGAAGGATACCATCCTGTTTAAATAGACATAAAAAAAAAAAATTGATCTTCATTTCTCTGTATTGTACATTACATATATTTTTTAATTTTTTCCTGTGGGAAGTGTATTCAGTTGTTCCATGTTAATGGCGTGAATAGAATGCCGTGTTAATGGTGTGAATAGAAAGCTTTGAGAATAAAATGGACCCAGAACACTTAGGATCTGATCCTAAGTCTGCTGTTGAATAATTGCTCTGGCGCTGATGCCTGCAAACAAATATACTTGTGTTTTCACCTTGTGTATTCTCCCTCCTCTCCCTTTTTCTTATCTCTTTCTCTCATTTTGCTGCCCAAACTTGCTTGCTCATAGGTACATCTGTTCAAGAAGGAGAGTCCCAGGGAACGAAGCTTACTTCATGTAAGGTGCATGTCAGAAGAGATCACAGGCATACACGTGTGCCCTGAAAGGTATCATGCAGGATTTCTTCTTGAAAACTGAGTTTTGTGATTACTGTATAGGGAGATGGCATCTATATAGATGAAATGGCAGCTCAAGTTTCTTGGGAGTGGTGAGGAATCATAGATGGCATTTTGTTTCTGGGTAGCTGATGGTATAACGGACAGGCTGCTGGCTCAGGCGTTCGTCTTCTCAGCTGTGTCTGTAAATGAAGTGTCATGTTGAACAAGTCCTCCTTTCTTGGTATTTCATCTCAGCTTTTCCTGATTAAAATTTATGCCTGTGCACGTATGTATAAAAATGGGTTTAAAAAGATCTACATATTACGGATGACCGGGGATTACTTTCACACACAGAGTACCCAATTTTAAAGCGCAGATAGGAGAAAAACCCACGAGGGAAGTCAGAGCACCTGTTCTTAGCAAACATGACAGCCTGCCAACATTTCATCTTGAGATGTGCTTAAGACTATGACAAAGATAACCAGAAATTACTGTGCACTGGGATAGCAAATTAAAATGCAGAAGTCAGCGAGGCCACAGGATATTGGATTTAAGACCATGACGAGGTTGTCAGCACTGATGACATTACGTGGTTGGGAAAATATATTGGTGTGCTTGATGTGTACACTGATAGCATCCAATATTCAGATGCTGAAACCTGGCAAGTCTGAGTCAAATCCATGGGAAAAATTGCCACGTTAAGCAAGTGAGCATCCATGAGTTAACGACAGGGATCTGAAGCAAATTTGATTGTATGGTACTGTGGAAGATATAGAAGAAATATTCTGGAATAATTTCCTCTTTCAGATATAAGAAATTATCTGAAATTGTACCTAAATATGGAGTTTGCTACAGTTAAATAGCAACTGGGATAGCAACTGATAAATTTAAGCTGCTTTTGACTTTTCATGGGAGATATGCAGAGTAACTTATGAAATGCACTAGTCTGCCTCGTTGAACTTTGACTGATGTTTGTGATGTGTGACACTGTCTCTGTCAAGGACAAAGCTGGCCACAGTCAGGGTTTCCAGAGTTGAGAGTGGATGCAAGGAGGCAGCTTTCAATGGAGCATATGCATTTCATAACAAAAAATTCTATAGGTAATGGTCAAACTTCTAGAAGAAACAATGATAGAGAGCCATTAAAGGCAAAATCACCCCCTGAAGCTCAGGAAGTTCCTTAGCTGTAGGCTGGTGTAAGCGGAAGGGTTTACCTGGTGGTATGACCATGTCCTTACCCTGTTCCTGTGCTCCTTCCTGGCACATCCAATCGTTGCTGCTCTCAGGGGTGGAACAGTAATTGTTAATTAGAAACTGAACATCCAGGAAAGTGAACTGTTTCGGAGAACCCTGTGATCTGCTTTCTGACTCTGAGTTTACCTTGCTGTGTTCCTCCTAGTGTTGCCACTGAGGTTGAAAGAAAGAAAAAGAAAACATCTGTAAGTTAGCGCTGTGGGTTTTCTGAGCAATGTAGATTTGTTTTGTTGCTGCTAAGATAGAAGTTATTTCTCAGAGCACAATTTAAATACCTAAGTTCTTGACTCATCTGTTTTGGTGTGGCACTTAAGTCAGTATGAATTTCACTCATTCACATCCACTTCCCAACTTGCTGATCAAGCAGAACATCTTGTATTTTCTGATCTTTGGAACAGGGTGTGAGTTTTCTTTTGTTTTACTAAACCAGGTAATTTGGTGAGTGTTTTATGGATAACAGTATGAGATGTGATGGACATGTTAAAGCATTTTGTCCTTTGCCTTGTCTAACTCAATCTTTTGCCTTAAAAAGGGCAATATTTCTGACAAAACATAATCTCCTATCATTTCTGGCCACACATCCAACCTATAATGTTATCTGACAGTAAATGCAGAGCCTCATCAAATCACTCATCTTCCCATGTTTCAGCAATAATTTTGAGGGAATCTGAATAAATTACATCTTGAATGCTACAGCTGCTCTCCAGCAGCAGAACTAATGAATTGTCATGACTGGGAGAAAGGGAGAGGTGCCTTGCATCCCTAATCTGAGACAGCTGACAGGATGATGTCTGATCAGCTTTAGTCACCATCCCTAATTACACGCTGAGAAATTAGAGCCACTTTCAAGTTAATGGCTGGTAAACACCTTGTGACAATTATAGTGTCTCAGTTTAAGAAAGGAATGGGAAGAATGGCTTGTGGTGCTCCACTGACCCTGCAGTGGTGGGTGCCCAACCCAAATTAGTCTAAATGGCTCACCCTAGGGGACTAGCGAGTCTTTCTGAAACTCCTTGTAATAGCTTTCTGTTATCTGTAGTCTTCTGGTTCCATAGTCATTCTGGACACAAAAATGATGGACATTCCCATTATGCTTTTGTTTGTACAGACATATTAACTCTTTAAAGGCAAGTCCACTCTGTCATGATCAAGAATCCCTTTATTCTCCTTCATAAAATCTTCGGAGTAGGCAGTGCCATTACAAAAATGGCAGTGGAGCAGTGGTTATACCAACAATGAAAATCATTTGTGCTGCGTTTATATCTGTAGATACTAAATCTAGTACACCAGTTGTACCTTCAGAATGAATCTGAGTGAACTGTGAATACTAACTAAAGCTACAGAGCTTTAAATCAATCCTAGTGCTCTGTAAAAGCAGGAGTACCTTGTCAGGTTTGGAAATGTTAATGGAGTAGCTGGCAGACCTGACTCGAATTAGAATTTGAAAATCAAATTTCACTGTGCTCATCATTTTCTTTTTTTTTCTTTTCCCTTCCTTCTGGTACGGCAGAGCAAGTACAGAATGCAGATCTCTGATATGCAGACTAAGGTGAAAGCAGTAAGTGAGGAAGGTAAGTAAAGATACTAAAAATTGAATGAATTCAGGTGGAGTTTAAATATGAAATACTGTGCGCTCTTCTGTGCTGCTTTAATGCTGCTCAATATTTATGACCTCTGGAATTTTCCTTTCAAGCCTATTGCAGTATTCATCCCCTCTGCTGTGTAAGAGGCAAAATCTAAAATCAGTTTTTCTTCATATTCTGATACTGTCCTGATGAGGCCAGTATTTTGTCAAGGAACAAAAACTAAAACATTTAAGAAGAAAAAAGACCTACATTGATTTTAAAGCTAAGGGAAATCATTGAGTTTATTTATATCAAGTAAACTTGAGTAACTCAACTCATTTAACTTTTCAGAACGACAACCTAGAAGGAATTTGATTGCTATTATGTGAACAGTTCGTCAGTGACAAAAAGGAGTTGACTGAGTGGCCTCTGATTTTTTTCAGAGAAAGACATGATTGTCACGGAATTAATTAGATCAGTTTATGCCCGTGACAGGGGGCAGTAGGCCCCTGCCCTCCTCACCCCCCACCTGGCCCCACAAAATGGGAAGGAAGGGGGAAAAGGAAAAAAAACAGCGGCAACAATCTATGGAGGTAAACTTATTTTACTATGATATCGGAATGCAAAATAATACAATATAATACAATCTAATTGAAATTGAGACTAATAAATCAAATAAGATATGAGAGAGAGTTCCCGAGACCGAGTCAAACCTGAAAAAAGCTTGGAACGGCTGGGAAAGCACCTCCAGCACCCACTGCCAGGCAGTAAGAGACTGCCCCCCCGGAAGGGGCAGATCCCATGACTTCCGTAATGTATAGGGATAGGTACGTAGAGGTAGAGCATTAACACTTTAATTCCAGTACATGATGTTTTGATGTGGAATATTGAAAATCAAATAAAAAAAAAAAACCAAAACCATGACACATGATATACTTTGATTTATGGAGAAATCCTACTGAGATATGAGCCTCAAATATTTAATTTCCTGAAAATAAAGGGGAGTCAGAACACCAATTTTCTATCTCCTGTCGTCTTTATACCTAAATTCTGGAAACTTCACCTTATGAGAGGATGAATGAGAAATAAGGAAACTAAGTACAGTAGAAGGTTAGCTCACTTGTTTGTATCACCTTTTGATATGCTTATTGGTCTGGAAGGTCTTTACAATATGAAAACGATCAGTGAAAGTTAAGATGCTGTTCTGTTTTTTATTAACTGTAATTAAATCTGAGTTCAGTATGATTTAAGAAACCCTAGAGGGTGTTGCAACTGAATTTCTTGTTTCTTCCTCCTCATTACAGTCACTTCTTGTGACTTGACGTTTCTGTTTGAATGCAAAAAAAATCTTTGTTATCAGAGAATTATCTAAGCCTCATCGAAGAGGCTTTCCCAAGTTAGACTTTTGCAGATAGAGTTGGTCTGCAGACAACTGCTTTGGAATACAGATAGACCTGAAAGCAAAACAAAACTTAATTTAGAGAATAGGAAAATGTAGAGATAAAGCTTGGTTATGCATTCCAATTTCAAAAAAGTCACAGATTCGCCTATCACTGGGTTTATCTGTTTACGTATATGAAAACGTTTTACAGGAAAGCCCTACTTATGCATGCAGCTTGAGGGGGGAAATTAAATCTGATTGAAGTTTGTAAAATTTAATTGAAGTAAGATCACACCTGCTAGTGGAGGAGAAAAATAATGAGTTCAGAACTACGCGTTACTACTTTTCCTCAGGAGGTGCTCGTTCATGCTCCCGAAGGCTCCGAACTGATAGAAAACATGAGTCAGTAACCAGTCTTATCTACTAGACTGCCCCCTTCGGAAACATTATGGACTCTTTGTTCTTATTTTCCTCTGATGTCACGTGAAATTTGACTCTTATTTGACTATAACAGAAGACTCTTGAAAGTTGAAATTCAGTTCCATCAGAACATCTTTCAAAATCACAGATAAGAGGAATTCATAGGCTTCTACCTCCATGATTGTTTCACTAGATAGAGTTGGGCCAAAGTAGTTGTCAGATTGATTTAAATCTTGTGAGAGCTTCATGTAAGAGAAGTTACCAACGGTTTCATGGATATTTATCATGATGCTATTACACTTTGATTTCACTTAAAATTGCCACCAATAATTTTTTACACCGTCACTTCTCACTATTATAGCATTAATCTTCACCAAAAGTAACAGTTCTTCTGAATGCCTTTCTAGGGGGACCTTTACATTCTTGAAATAATATAGTATTGATAAAAAGGATTATTCAGAACTGTACTAGCCACTTCCATTTTGTGTATTATGTGGCTTGATCAGTAGTTTTGTTAGCTCCAACAGTCCTTCCAGTAAAGAGGCAAAGATTTTACTACAGTTTTCCATCCAAGCAAAATTACATATGGCAGTTCTTTTACATATTTTATCCCCTGATTGTACAGACAAAATTAAGCAATAGCACTATATCAATAAACCTTCAGTTCAGAGATATTTACACTTAGCGTTTAGATTATTTTATTCCATGATTCCCTAGTAAGTGTTAGTATGTCTATCAGAAAAATGTTATTTGTGTTGGATTAAGAATTGTTCTGGTAGGTAATATAGAAAAACTGCTTGAAGATACTTCTCGTGAAGTGCTCAAATGATCATCTTTCTGCTGTCACAAAAAGCCGTAAAGTTTTTTGATTTTTAAAAAGCTTAAGCCTGCTAAGGAATAATGTATTTTGGTTGGTATGTCCAAAACCAATTCTTTTTTTTTTTTTTTTGCTGTAGTTTATATGTACTTAAGAACCTCTTACAAAAAAAAAAAATAGATTAACATACATCAACTTTTTTTTTTCTGCCAGTGGTAGTAGTTGGATGGAGTGCCTATCTCTACATATTCACAAAGCAATTGTTAACATCCACTGGGAGCATTACAGCATTCACCATGCAAGTAGAGAGGTCAGAAATGCCAGTAAGTTGAAATGTTGATGTGGAGAGAAAAAAACATGATCTTTACCAAGATTAATGACTGGCATTTTTCATACGTCAAGCTCTATGTAATAAAATGGGTATAAAGGAATTATCTTTATTGTGATATGCCTTGGTTGTCAAAAAACGAAGTAGTTGCATAAAATCATAACTTCTGTTAGGGAATAAGAGGTACTGTTCTTGACCAACTCTTTGTACACCTCATGGCAACTGGAATTCCAAGTGCGGCCTTGCTGAGTAGCTTGCTTCCATGTTTTCTTGATGGTGCTTAATGGTATCTTCAATGACTGAATGCAACATGTTCCAAAGGGCACAGTAAGTGAGGCCTTTATTAACCAGCTTTGCTTCTGGGTCTGAATTAATTAAAACCTTGACAGGAACAGAACTCTTAATAGCTTTCCATTAGAAGCAGCTACACAACATTGCTACCCTTCCATGACATAAAAGCAAAACAGAGGAACAGCTGTTAGTGTTCCTGAATCCGTTTGAATTTATTCAGGAATTTCCTGCACAGATATGTTATTTTTATTATTTTCTTTTTAGAAAATCTTGATTTGTGACCACTCTAGTCTTAGTGTTTGCAGCCATTTTAGACATGATGGCAGACAACTCATCATGGCCCAGATTGTTGAGCTGCTTTCCACTACTGTAACTTCTTGAAGTAGGTTCCTGCGTTGCAAAAGAGGAGGGGTTCCTGGGTAGTGAGCTGAAGCGACGGAGAACCAGCTTCAGAGGAAGATGCATGAAAGAGGCAAAGACTTCATGTTAAGCCTGGCACCTTCTTAGGCTGGTGAGTGGTGAAATTCAATGTTCATCTTTCCATAACCTGCGGGACGTTCTTTTTCTCAGAATAAAAAAGAAGGGAAAAACAGCATTAGATAGACTTAGGAGGGAAGGAGCAGCTACACTAAACTAACTTGAATTTGTACAGATGCTTGCAAATCATAGATTTTCTTAAATCTTTCATGGAAACATACTGTACAGTTTGTATAATGCCTAAAATCTCAGATATCGCTTTGCCACAGATTTCACATGAGAAGTTTGTTCTACACTGATAGGATTTCAGACTCCTCTGAGGAGATAATTTGTACCTAACTTAACTAATGCTTGATTTTTACACAGAGATCATTTTATGCAGTGATCATTCACTGCTTTCAACAGTCCAAACTGGAAAGGCCCATTACAAAATTTATCAGTAAGATAGCAGTGTCACAGGAGAGTAGTAATTGCTTTGAACAACAACAGGAAAAGCAAATAACCCAAAAAACGTCAAATTTCTTCAAAATGCAGGGAGTCAGCTTCATGTGGAAGCATATTTCTTATCATCAGGTGCTTTTCTTATATTCAGTTCTAGACTTTGCTTTAAAAGTGCTTTTCAATTCCATTCCTCTATTTGAAATATACTCACCCAAATATCTGAACTGCCATTTCCCAAGGAAGATCAGAGCCTGTGGCAGTGCAATAAAGTTGATCTTTGATGTTAGGGGCATCAGGAGCAACATCATGGTGTAGAAATAATGAGCTACGAGGGCAGCTATTTTTTTTCAGGCACTGATGCTGAGTGAGGTATCCTAGTGCAGGATGAGGGCATGCTGCCTTCCAGTGAATGCATCTACCAGACTTTAGGCTCACCTGCAGTGATGCTGGCTGCAAAGGCATTTAGCATTAATTGGCCACATGCGGTGTGTGAAAGATGTTGAGTTGTGTGATGAAAGCTGATAGATAAATGTAGAGTGAACAAACAAAAGCATTTTACTGGAGTATTATGAGGCAACTGAAATAACTCAAGTAATGCTGTATGTTCAGGCAAGGAAGCCTCCTGGATGAAGTAATACCCTGTAGCAGTGCATGTAGAATCATAGAATCTTTTGAAATGGGAAGGATGCTCAAAGGCCATCTAGTCTAGCTCCCCTGCAACGAACAGCAAAGTGCACAGCTATATCAGGGTGCTCAGAGCCTGGTCCAGCCTGACCTTGAAAGTCTCCAGGAAGGGGACATCCACCACATCACTGAGCAGCCTGTGCCAGTGCCTCACCACTGTCACTGGAAAAGACTTTTTTCTTATAACTAACTGAAATCTCCTCTCTTTACATTTGAAACCATTTCCCCTTGTCCTGTCATCTCAGATGCTGCTCCCCTTCTTAAAGCTCCCCTTTAGATCCTGACAGGCCGCTTGCAGCCTCCTCTTCTCCAGGCTGAACAGCCCCAGCTCTCTCAGTCTGTCCTCCTGGGTGAGATGTCCCATCCTTTGGATCATTTTTGTGGCCCTCTTCTAGATGCACTCAAAGGATTTTTCAAGTATTTCACTTCAATTTGTATGTATGTAAGGGTACATTCAGAGGTTTCTTTTTTAATAATTAATAATATATATCTTTTTAATATGGACACATCTTATGCTTCTAAGGCCTTATGCCCTGGGATAGAATCCTACTCTTGGCTTACCTTTTGAGCGTGTGTCCCACTGCCATTACCAGCTTCTCGTGTTAAAGCTTCTCAGGTGCAGAGTCTGCTTGCAATGATGTGGTTTTAGGACGTGTTTGTTTTTTCCCAAGAGCTGATGGGCTGCTGTCATTCCAGGCATCCCTTAAATGTTCAGCTGGATGATGAGATGAGCACCTGTCTGTTTCCACAGTTTGCATAATTTGTATTTCTGTAGGTGGTGCAGTACACAATTCTTGGAGGTGTGTGTGAAACGGTCCTGAATGATGAGGGAGTGCTGGAAAAAACAGATGAGAAGTTCCAGCTGTTTCTACTGCCATTTAATTTTTAAACATGGATGGACAAGGGAGAGAATAGCAAGGGGAGGGAGAAGAAAGGATTTGGGGATTGCAAATGTTTCCGTGCCAGTAACGTGCTATTTTTCAGCTCCAAAAGAACTCTCTGTAATGCGGAAATGAAGTGGTTTACCCAGCAGAAAATAAGTGTTGCTGCTGTATTGTTTTTGGCAGGAGTTGGTGGTTCATCATTTGGACACATCAGGTACTTTCTCTGTGGCTGTCGTGTAATTTAAAATGATAGTATTGCATATGTTGACAAAATCATGGAGTATTGATTGGTGGTAGAAAACTAGCAGGATGGGAACATTCATCTATGCAGTACTATTTTGAAAATGAGTTGGAAAAGCACTTTTCTTGCTAGTTTGTTTGCTGTGCTCTATCTTGATTTACCAGGTGGAAAACTGGATAATTGTGGACTATCTTGAAATCTCTCTGTGTTTGGTATTGTATCACTAGCAGTTCCTGTTCCCAGCAATTTTAAAGACTTCAGGACGGGATGCAGCTGTTTAGGCTGAACTTGGTATAGAGGCATAATGCCACTTCTTTAGTAAGTCCCTTGTATTGCTGTTAAAAGCAAGAGTCACTTCCACCTATAGTGTCTATGACCAAAAAAACCTGATGCGCCTCTAACCTATTACTGATGCGTTTTAGTGTTGACTGATTTACTTCTTTATTCTTACTGATCCTCAGGCTGACAGTAACATTGCAAAGCAGTACTCAGTTATTATTGTGAACTATTTGGCAGAAGCAAGCAGATGCAGATGAGCTGAACTCTGTTCTGCCTAACTTGATTGGGGTGGTAACATCTTTTTCCTTAGTAACATCTTTTTCCTTAATTAGTAGCAATCCGAAGACTAGAAAAAATCTAGCAATGCTGTCCACTTGAACAGTACTAGCTTATTTGGCTCGTCTTACTCTTTGGCATCTGTATTTCTATGTACCTTAGTACTGTTTTCTTATAGTTAGACTGATCCTGAGCGGTTTCCTGTTTTGTCCAGGCAATCATTTCTTAAATCATACAAATTGGGAAGCCAAACTGATACGAACAGACTTTGTGTGAGAGATGGATTGCCCTAAGTAGCAGGCTAGGACTCCAGAAACTCAATTTCAGTGATCATCTCATGCAAGGACTTCTACTGTGATCTTGCTTAATCCGTTAATCGGTCTGTGAGATGCGTATCCTACCAAGATCAGTAAATGTATTTGTTCTGATTTCAGTGAATTTTAACTTCCTCTAAGTGTAACCATTGTTATATTCATCTACATTTTCTGTAATACAGACAGTGCACAGTGTATGCTTAAGCATCTGAAAAGCATCAGAAAGTGTGGCTGTGGTGGCACATGAGTAATGCTACTGACAATAGAAGAAAACAGCCATTTGAAGGTCAGGTTACCACAAATTCAGAAAATATTTGTCATGCCCGGAGAATTGATCTGAAATTTGATCAATCTGGGAGAATAAATCACAGCAGAAAGCATGCGTTAGAACTATCCCTTACAGAAACTCCCAATGGAATTTGTTTTATGGAACCAGGCTTAAATATTTGTATTAGTAATAGGCCTAGCATGCTGGAAGGAAGCTTTGTAGAATATGTGCAACACAAAACAAAATTTGGTGTGCAATACAAGAAGCATACAAGTGTATTTTCCCTGCTCCCCACTGTCATCCTCCCAGAGATGGTAACAGTGGAACTACAGAAAAATGGCAGGGGCAGCAGAAAGAGCAACGTGTACATCAGTGCTTTCAGGCAGACCAACGCTTTTCTTCTGTGCTGGACGAAAGTGGATGGCTTTAAATATGAGTAATTATTAACCATATTAACCTCATTTTGTGCATCTTGGTGGTAGTATTTTAGATTATATAACCAAAAAGAAATGCTAACTAAGCATAAGGGGACAGTGAAGCAGAAGAGACAGGAGTGACTAACTTCTGAGACTTGCTGCCAGCAGATAGTTCCTTGTAGTGCTAACTTGACCTAAATTTAAGAAAAAAAGTAATAAAACAATAATAATAAAAAAATTAATACTATTTGTCATAAAACTAAGCATACGTCATAGTGCCGATTATCTTAAAATAACAAAAAAGAAAAAATGTCTTTTGAGAAACAGTAAAAGCCATTGTAAAAGTATTAGATTTATCCCAGGGTTTCTCTGGGTCTACAACATAGAACTGTTTTCATTGTTCATAGGTCAGGGCAAAGGGGCAAGGAAACCTTTGTCCTTTAGCTGTGCCAATCCACGTAAGGAAGTCAGTGTCCTACATAAACTGAGAGAAGGCAAAACCCAAATAAGAAAGCTTTGTCTGGTATTACTGGTGATATCTAGGATTACCAGTAAACAACAAAAGATACTTCTACAGAACAGTAGAGAGCTTGCACAGGTCTTTTCCCCTGAATAGCAAATAAGACATAACCCTAAACCTGGCAGATCTGCTCTGCGCCAATTGAACCAATGCTGGCTTTCATAGTTTACGCTAACATGAGTTGGAACAACTGTAATATCTGTAGAGCAGAGGAGGAGGAAAAAATCTGCTGTAGTGTTCGGTTTGGAATTCTTTTCAGCCAGAATGCTGAATTTAGTCCACAATACAATTCCTCCTAAATGAAGGAGGATGGCGTGGAAGGGAAGGAGACAAGCAACGTAGCTGAAGAGAAATTTAAAGTGCAGCGGTATAAACTGCATGTTTCTCTTGCTTCTGCTGTTAATTACTGAAGAAACAAGTCTAGGTAGTTTATCCTCTTCTGCTATTTTTTTTCCAATCACCTTTATTCTAAGAATTTCTTACCAATAGCTCTATTTTGTCTTTCATCCACAGTATTGAAGGACAGAGTTTCTATGCAAAATTAAAAGTGGTGTAAATCCACAGCAGTTGTTAGGATTGGCTGTTGATTACTTACCTGACAGTAATGATTTCATTAGCTCCTAGCAGTAGGCCTTTGTTATTTTGGGGTCAGCCATGGGTAAGTAGTGATCTGTAAGTTCTGTTGTGCTAACATAGCCTCAAATTCTCCAAATCAAACACACCTTTATCCCAGTTCTCTCATTTTTTTTTTTAATTAGCTAATATGTATTGGGCTTTGTTCTTTTTCATCCCCTTGCTTTCTTAGATGAGCTCAGATGAACTTTGGTACTTGCATTCGCTTGCTCTGCGATTGGATCACGTGAACCCAAACCCGTGGGGCTCTGAAACGAGAGCAGCAGTAAAAGATGAAGATTGCAGTAAGGTAGAAAGGATGTATGTTTTGTCGATAGATCGCTCTGGTTTTGATGTTGCGAGCATAAAATTGTAAAGATGAAGTGTAAAGAAGGCATTTTCAACACTATGTTGCAGAAATAGATGATGTGAATCTTACTGTTTGGTTTATGACTATGCAATATTGCTTTCAGACACTTGTTGGTCTGTGGTCTGCTATGGCAGGCATGTCCAACCCATGGCCCAGCACATCTCACATTGTGGCTGCCCCTGCTCTACGCCATCATGGCAGCAGCTCTTCCTGCCTTGTGCCCAGCGCCAACCAAACACTGGTGTGCTGTGAATCACTTCTGGGCTGAGACCAGGGCACGGGGAGGGAGCAATGCAGTGCCGACTCTTATGGTAAGCTTACGGCAAATAAGTTTTAGAGCTTTGGCTAAGTCCTGTGAGCAGTGAAAAATGTGCAGCCATGCTTTCTATTTTGATAAAGGAATTTGAGTTTGAAGATTGCTGAAAAAATCATCAATTTTTTTGTTAATTTACAACTCTATTTTCAGTCTACAAAAATACATTATCTGTGAATTTTCAAATGGAATATTTTATCTCTTCACCAAACTCTTGTAAGTCCTCTCTTTCCAGAGGGAAACATCCCTCAGTTTATGATCACACCTCATTCATGTCCTCGCTTCTTGGCAGTGCGTGCATTTGTGAACAACTGTTTTGAAGGATGAAGCACAGGAAGAGTAAAATTTTAACCAAATTCTCTACTCTAAGAATTGTAGTCACTGCTATTGAACCAGCCTGATGCATTGATTTCACAAAGTAAAATATCCCACTAGTTTTATGTTTTTTGTTGCTCTACTTTTTTATTTAATTTAACTAAAAAATTTAAGTCTTTATTTATAATAATTTATATTCATTAACTATGGTATATATTTAATGAGGGCTGCTCCAAAGTAATGCATGCTAACTTATTCTGTTGGCCCACGATATCAGAGGCGGATGGTGGTATGGCAGTAGAGGTTGAACTTTCCCAACAGTATGCTGTTACAGTTCGTTGCTGTGTGACAAATAGCAGCAGAGGGGCAGGCTGACAGAATAGCATCTGACATGGAAGTGCGTATGAAGCAAAGGTTGAATTCTTCCATGTAGAAAAAAGGTCACCCATTGATGTTCATACTCTTACTGAATGTGTATGGAGACCTAACAGTGGATGTGAGCACCGTGAGGTGCTGAGTGGTGTGTTTCAGCAGTGACAGCAGGGACAGTGGATCATCTCTGCTGGTACAGATTTTTGTAAGTGTGGCGTGTGGGCTTTTGTTCATCACTGGCAAAAATGCACAGCTACTGGGAGTTCACAAGGTGGAAAAATAGCACTTTGTATTTGAGAATTTGCTCCATCAAGTAGTGTTATTGTACTCTTTGTATCTGCTTTAGTTTCCATGGAAATGTATGGGTGGCATTACTTTTGTAGGAGTGACCTACATATATGTGGCCCAAGACATTTCCTCTACAGTCAATGCGGCCCAGGCAAGCTGGAAGGTTGGACCCTGTGTGCTGTGGTCTTCTTCACAGCCTCCTGTTTTCACAGAAGCGCTCTGGGGGCTGTTTTTATCTGAACGCAATGATTGCTGTAGCTGCTATTCTGTACCTCAGGTTGCTGTGGATGGGGATTTCATGTTGCTTGCATTTATTTTTGAGAGGGCTTTAAATCTTGTTAGAGGAGATAACTTGGCCTTTCATGTCACATTTCTTGATCTGAGGATGTGTAAAGATCTTGCACAGCGGTAAGAAAAAAGTCCCAACTTAGATGAAGCAGTTGTTCATCTCATTTATGAAATCAGTTAATGGGTATGATTGGCTAGCTTCCCGTGGCACAACTGTATGCCACTTGCTTCATACATCAGATGCATTTTCTATATAATAAATTGTAAAGTTTGAAAGCTTTTACTCAGTTTTTAGGCACAAAATGTTGTTTTTGTATTAAATATAATGGTAAGATTTTGTCTTAAAATACAAATCTAGTTGTATTGAAATGGCAGTTGGTTCTGACTAGATTCCTTTGCCTTAAAAGGGAACTTTCAGCCACAGTGTAAGGACCTTCTTGGTTGGCCATCTAGCTATGGGAAATATAAACTGTGCTTAATTCAAATATTACTCTTTTCGATTTTTATATCAATTTCCAGAGGCCTACCTAAGTGTTAAGCTTCCTTTATAAAAGCACAGGCAATAAAATTGTTGCTGCTGCCAGCTTGTATGCCTGAAAGCTCAGGGTTTTTTGTCCTAACTGTATCAGGCTTTTTTAATAAAAAATATTAACTTTCTTCACAAACTTGTCTGACATAGAGAAGAAAAATATCTTTCACTCAAAGAAAGTATCAGTTATATTTAATGATTAAAACAAATTGTTGTAAGAGAAGACAGAAGGCAAATGGAAGAAAAATCTGGGGAAAGGCAAGCTGTAAAAGCCCCTGGTTTCTCACCATACTGAAAATGGATCTTAGTTTTCTTGGTGGACCTGAGTTTTCAAGAATAGTTGCAAGTAGCAAATCGACTGAATATTTGAGTTTAAATCTTATATTCTTATATTATCTGAATATTAGAATTTAAATCTTGTTTTATCAAATACCAAAAAATCCTAAACTAAATAGTAAATGGTTTGCAGCTGAGCAGTGTCTCATCTTTCAAAAGCCCTGATAGCTGAAGCTAGAGGTAAATGGAAACTGCAAAAGCAAAAAGTGGCAAGAAGTGTTTCAGGGCTTTGCTTTTGTATGCACAAGGGTGGAGCCATTTTGCAATATGTCAGGGGAAGAAGATGGAGCTGTGAGTGATGGTACTGCACAGGCTTGGCATACTTCAGAGCTTCAAAACCAGTTGTTTCCGTGCTTCCATATTTTGGGATCTACAAATGAAGAGAAGCTGTCAGTCAGGTTGTACCCAGTGCTCTGGATGGAAAACAAGGAGATGCTCAGAGAGGTGGTGTATACCCCGTCCCCGTAGACACTCAAGGTAAGACTGAATGGGGATCTGAGCACTCTGAGCTGTGAGTGTCCCTGTTCATTGCAGGGAAGTTGGACTTGATGCCCTCTGCATGTCCTTTCCAATTCAAACAATTCTATGATTTTAAGTGTGAGGTATGTCTTCACAAAAAGAAAGAACGCTAAGAACGTTCAGCCTTGGGAATTGTATTTCACCATGTGAATGAAATACATTCTGTTAAAGCATGCATCACATTTGCCAATCATTGTCTTCATCATAAAAATTCATGCTATTATGGACATCTAAAGCACACAGTGTGATAGTATCTTGTTTCCTGCAGCTCATGCATTGTCTCCCCAGAAGTATATCTGCAACCACCTAAGAGCCCAAGCCTGTAAGATCTGAAACCTTTTGCACGGTATCTGATTGGCTGAGGGACCAGAGAGATCACCTGTGCAGCTCAGTTTCTCTCTTCACAAGTCAAGGTATGTGTATGAAAAAACTTGTCCTCCTTTTTTTGCAGCTGTGAACTAAAAATATTTGGCATAGGTAAAGCTTCTGCCTTGTATTTTTCAGTTTCCTCATTGAGGTGCTTTCTTCCTCCTCTAACTTCAGCTGCTCCAAAGGATGCCTGGAACAAAACAGTCTTCAAATGCTTCTCTCCGCTGGCACTAGCAAGGTAGGAGGTGAATCACATGGGACAACTAAAAGGCACTTTCTTAGCTGAGGAGGACTCAGTCTGGCACGTATCAATGATGACAGCATTGTATTGAGAGCTTTGCCAGGGAGGGCTGCCTTACAGCTGCATCTGTTGAGCAGCCAATGCATGGTCTCTCCTCTCTCCTGTTTTGTGACATAAATTTTATGTAAGTCCCATAGCTCAGAACAGTCAGTAATCAGCAGCACATACAGTTTCCGTAGGAAATAAACTTTCCAATTGTGTCACAGACTAGAATTGCAAACATTGAACCTTTAGAACTAGAAACATTCAGCTTGCTGGTCAGCTATCAGTACACCTTTCAGCTGACAATTATATTAGTGAGGCTGGAAATAAATATATTATTGTTTTCAGAAGGGATTTAATGTTTAAAATGATGATTGTGTAAGTGGCACTAGATACTAAATCTTGCTGTCTTATTACAAAGAAATATAATTACCATGAACTAAGACCAACTGGAAAAAATGCAGTCCTATAGGTTTGTTGCTTTGTTTTCTGCGTGCTACAGACAGTGTAAATGAAAGAAGAAATGACAGGATCACTGCAGAACAAGTCTGCTTCACTTGATAATGAACAGCACAGGCCAATGCCTAAAGGAGCACTGAGCACCCAGCCCTGGAAATCTGAGACACCAGCACTTGCCAGGGATGGGAAAAGGGACAGCTCTCCTGGCACTTGCTCTGGGTTGTCAGCATTCAGAGAAACATACTCACATGATAAAATCTGCATAGTATAGGTTATTAACGCAGTATTCTATCTCCTGCCTCAGTGCAAAAGTTATAATGTAGTACCTTCTTTTCTGCTTGTGTTTTATATTAATGCTTAAAAAAAATAATTCCGTTGTGTTTGTTTTCTCTAGGGTGTTCTGCCAATTCCTACATCAGCTCCCCTTGATCTGGGTCCTGAGAACTCAGCGAGTGCTGTATTCTGAAGCTAGGAGCCATAGAGTTGGGCATTCTGACTGCGTGCTGCCTCTGTGCCTAGACGGTATGTACAGTGAACCGGATGTCTGTAATTTGAATGTGTCTTAACTGGGCTGTGCTGAGATCTCCAGACTTTAATGTAATGGTTTAAAGTTTCCATTTATGCTTACTGCTCCTCATGAGTGTTCCTTATTCCATCTTAAGGTGTTTGTCAGGTGCTAACAGTACAGTCCAACTGGGACTGCAGTATGCTCTGGAACTCAATTTGTATGTTCTGAGAAATACATTAAGCTAAACACAGTGGTGTTCTCCACAACCACTACTTTGAAAACATACGGTTGGCGAGGGCAATCACTGGAGTCATTTCACTAACGCGGTTTTAGCGCGCTTTTCAGCTTGCTTCTCCAGCCATCTCTCTCTATCCGCGTGTGTTGTGGCAGCCTTAGCAAACCTTCTGTGTGTGTGCTAGAACTGCAGTCCTCCTCTTAAATTGTATCCCTGAGATGCACCAATACTACACATTTCTTTCCCAAATGCTGCCAGTGAATTTTGGGCGTCCATTTTCTGAAAGCGTTTCTGGTCTATTTTAATGAATGGTTTCTGTGAAAATTAATTCTGTGTGTATATTGTGAGAAGTCTAGTGATACTTTACTCCAGTCTCTCCTTCATTCTCTGCCTCCATCCCCGCCCCCAGCAGTTATAAAGGCAGGGACTTTCCCTCCTCAGTGAAACACTTGCTGTCAGTAGCAATGTTGTAGAGGAAGAAACTTTTATGCAAAGGTCAGGGAATTTTGTAAGGATCATAATTTCCTAAAGGCTTCATTAACCTTTACAAAATACTTGCCGCTGCATCGCACAAGATACGATTAAATGACCTTTAACATTCAGAGCGATAAATGAAAGTAACAACCTCGAGGTATCACAAATAGTATTGATGCTTCCCAATACCGATCTCCCATCATGAATCTTAGTGCAGAGAACAGACTTGAAATATGATGCTCTGCCTATGATGAAGCCTAGTTTCTGTGGTGTACATAATCCAGGAAAAGTATTTACCTGTGTTAGTGCCTGGTGGAACGCTAAGGTGATGTGGCACAGTAGCATCGCCTTCTTTCTGCAAGTATTCCAGAAACTGTCTCACAGATGATAAACATTCAAAGTAATGAGGCCCATCCCTTTATTTTGAGTAGATACCAGAGCCTGGAATTCTGTGATTTCCTGAAAATCTTTTTATCCAGCTACACATGGCTCATAGTCCATGTTCTGTTAAAGGGCCACAGAGAAATTAGATGAGTACCTTTTTTAAACTACCTGTCCAAACTCTTGTTTAGCCGAAAGAAATGAAGATTTCTGTGTGCAATCAACATAGCAGAACCAGAAAAGCTGGTCCAGTCTTAACCACAAATAACAAGGCTATTTCTAGTATTCATTTGTAGGAAGCCGTCAGGAACTCTTCTTTGCGAAGACAACAAATGGTATGAAATAAAGCAGACAAGTAATGAGTTGAATTGGAAAAAATTCATGCTCTGTGAACCAGTGACATGATTACAAACTTAGAGGAAAATACTGATATGCACACTGAAACAAAGGTAAACATAACCAAATAACGTTAAAGATAACACACGTATTCATATTCATGTTGGACAAAGCAGAACTGTGGTGCTTTGAGTCTTTAATTTAGACTCATCTTGGTACTTAGGTACCAGAGAAGGCCATCTGAGGAGTTCCTCCGTCCTTCATTTATTCAGATTCTCTGAACATGGCTGTGTAATCATTTTCTTAAATTTTGCCCACGGTGCACTCATGGCTACGGTATCCAAACTTGAGGTAATCTATGCAGTACCATTTAATTGTACAGAATTACACAGAGATGAGAAACCAGAAACTACTGACTTGACTGTGTTAATTATAATTTCAGAGGTTATGGAAGAAATGTTTTCAGTGTTGGGTTGCTGTTTTGCATTTGTTTCGAGCGAGTTTGGTATTTTTTGTGGGTTTTTCTTACAATTTCAAGTTTTAAATAATGTTTAAAGATGCATGTGTAGTTTTGTGTGCCTTCAGATAGAGTTACAAGTAGCAAGCACTGAAAATCTGATTTTTTGCTAGTGAATTCTCATATTGCAGATGGAGAGCAATACTCAAAAAGGTCACAGGCCAGCTTATCATAAACATTTTTCCATGCTGAGAGTATTTCCATAACAAAGAAGGAACTGAGCTATTCTATTTTTGCTTGTTCATTTGTAATCCGGCCAATTTAAGGTCACTTGTATGGATTTGATTTAGAAGTGTACCATATACATTGCTTTAGAAGTCTTTAGTCTCTTTCTTTTGTAAAAAATACTGTCTCTGATTTCCTCATTTTTCTTTTCTCGTTTCAATCGTTCCTTTACTAAGCAAAAATGATAGCATGAGAGGTAATGGAGAGGGCAGAGCGGCGTGTCAGGCAAAAGACCTGGAGGCTGAGGCTATGAAACCTGACTGAGGTAAGAGCAGGCAGAAAGAAGCAGACGGGGAGAGGTAGAGAACTAGAAAAGCAAAGTGTTACAGACTGGCTGAGAGTCAGGAATCAGTTATGGTCATCGATTGTGTTATGGCTATATAAAAGAATACACAGCAGTGCAACACTTGATCTATACATACGGTATTGTCTTAAAAAGGGAGAATTCACATGGTTAAAAAGATAGCAGAGAGTACTGAGTGGGAAGAGCAAAGGCTCTTAGTGAGTTTATCAAGCGGCTAGTGTTATTCTCCAGTCCTGTGAGCTGCAAATCTTGTATGGGTTTTAGTAAATATCGTATACCAGCACAGTAACAGAGGCATAAAATTGGTACTGAGGCGTTGTCAAATACTTTCGTGTGGCCTTTTATTTATTTCCTAGGTAACTTGTTCCTCATTTTCTATGGTTTATTAACTAGTTGGGTAAGCACGTGCATAATGCCTCACTGAAACGAGATTTTTGATTCTCTCCCTCTGCTAATATCAAGCCTGTGCGTATGTGTGATTGGGCTGTTCTGCAGAGCTTCTTTCTTTTCACCTTCTTTGGATATTTTTTTCTTCGTAAAACTGAAGCTTGAGCTTTCTATTTTGCCACGAGTCTGTGTGCCTAAGAGAACACCGTGCCGCTTGAAAAAAGAATTAAGTTTAGCTGAAATCAACTTTACTTATGAAAGTACCAGGAAAACAGTTTTCTAGCTATTTTGTTGTTGTTTGCAAGTTTGGTTAAAACATTTAGGGGAAATTACCACCTGCTCATCATCACAAGCAGGAAAGAAAGGTGATGCTGTTGCGTAGCAACATCACCTCCAAATAACCAAGCATTTTCAGATATTATGCAACATCATAAAGAAGAAAAAATTGCAGTTTCAATTCAGCTGAATATTTTATGGGAAACTTAGTTTTGAGCCTACTGTTAGAAAAGCCATTTCCCTTAAGCTGCTTTGCAGCATAGAAAAGAGTCTGGAATTTGACTACTACTTAGCTTTGAGAGCCAAAACCTACTCTGCGTGTATTCAAAAAAGCTGTGGTGATTTCTCATTATCCCAACACGTTCTGCAGTGAGCTGTGCACAGACCTGTCTTCGGATGAGGTGCTCCATAGATCTCTCTAAGGTACTTCTAAGTAAAACCATGAGAGGTGTTGGCCTTCTCAATAGCAGCACATAATAAAGAATCTAACTTTTAATTACCAAGTGAGAAGCAGCGCATTGAGTCAGATAAAAATCACTTGCAGCACTGCAGGTGTGATGTCGTTATGTTCACGTACAGCATCGATCCCTAGCAGTTGGACTTCATTGTATGCCCTGGTCCCGTAATCAGTTAATGCTGCTTTCACTGCAGGGACCTCAGCCTGCCTCGACCAGTGGCAATATGCTAGAAAAATAATTAGGAAATAAATGTTAAACTAAATTTCCTGTAATCTAAAGAAATGTAAATAAATAGAAACAAACAAAATGCACAGAAGACAACAAGTTAAATGAGGTGAATTTAAACTATGCAAAAATAACATTAAATCAGTATTTCTTGTGTTTCCTTTTTGAGGAGATCATCTTGTTTAAAATGTTAGTCTGTCAAGCTAGTAGATGGGAGAAGAAAATCTTTTCTGATTTAAAGGTTGTCACAAGTTACTGTTCATGGCCAGCTGAAATTTCTTTTTCTGATTTTAGCTCTGATGTGGCAATTCCCATCTCGTTATTGTTTTGGTAGAGCTGGATGGGTACCTATTCCTACCACGCCGGTCCCATGCAGCACACTTTCTTGTGTGTTTGCCAGAACAATGTACGAATTATAATAAGGGAAAGCCTAGGAAAGGCAAGCCAGAGTGCAGTCTGCGACAGTGATTGCGTGTTGTGAGTTTGTGTATGTAGGTGGGAATTTGAGGTGGCTGTGATGGCAGTATTTGGGAGACTGAAGACCTTGTTAAATAAGTAAAGCTGATGATATCAAGTAGCATAATCACAATCTTATATGACCTAATATTCAGATGTCGTATCAGTGGTTCCCTAAATCCACTGGATCGGGTTGGAACTAATATGCAATAAGCCAACAATACCATTTAGTCTTTTGCATGTAGAATGTCTATCTGAAAATCTTTGGAAGAATAAACTGATGCATAAGTCTATGCAATGTGATGGTTTGTACGAAGTTAAATATATTCTTCTTTGTATGTTACGTTTTTTTCTCTCATATTCCTGTATGTCCTCCTTTTGATAACTATAGAAATAACTATATGAAACTGGCATTCCAGACATCCAGGATGTTGTTTTTGTTATTTGTTCAAATTTCATTTTTGCATTTGATTTCTTTTTTTTCCATGGTTTTCTGAAGAAGCAGGTCTGTAGTCCAGGACAGTCCTCACTTTGTTCGACTGCACTTAGACGTTTCCTATTTAAATCTGCATTTTTGCCTTCATCTGCTTCTTGTCTGGCCAGTCCTTGAATCCTTTGTTAAGATTCCTGAGCTGTTACAGTCTGCACCGTACTCATTTTAGACTGTGGGTGCACGTGATGCAGTAATGTTGATGGATTACTTTTATACGTTTGCATTTGAATTTCTAATCTGCAAACCATTCATACTTTCTCCCCTTTTTTCATTAAAAAAGAATGAATGTACCCAGAAATAGTCAACTCTTTATTCTGTCTTAAATGAAAAAGAATAAGACCAAACAGTAAGCCATGCCTCCTTGCAGCAGTTCAAGTAAATATTATTACTTTATTTATTTTACAGAGCTGTCATCGGGCAAGAGGAGGAGAAATGAGACTGGAAAAAATAAGAGGGATAAAACGACATTATTCTGAGGGAAAGGTAAGAGTCTGGCTTGTTTTATTGCTCTATTCTGAGACGTCTGCAGATTTCACATGTACGTGCAGTGGTGACAGACGTTGTCAGCGTTCACAAAAGTTAATGTAGTCTCAAAGTAATTAACTGGCAAAGAAGCTACTTAGCGCTATCTGGGGTATTGCAGTTATACTGCAGCAATATCTTTGATTTCACTTTATGTAATATAATTTATTCACTTTTTCCTCTACCGCTATATAAAGTCTTAATGGGAGAATGCTCTCAGTGTTCCTCGGGGGAGACACCCTGCTGGAGGGTGAGCTCACAGACCACTAGGCTAAACATTGTTCTTCTGAGATGTCCGGTATTTCCCAGCCTCGAGATGGATTATCAAGGCTGTTTTCAGAGCTCTGTATCAGAAATTCATCTCATATTTGGTAATAGCTTACAAAGCAGGTAGCTCCAGTACTTGGAGACCATAACTGGATAACAGGGTGGCTATGGAGATGGGAAGTGTTTCCCTCCCAGCAACCAGCTGTTTTGTGTGGTGTTTGGGAATGAGATGTTACTAAACCTAAGAACAGCAACTGTGCTTTTAATCTCTTTTGTTTCTAATGCGTTGGAAACTGGGAAGGGTAAAAAGGAAGAATGGAATAACTTCAAGATTTCAGACGCACAACATTTGGTGAGAAATCTTTAAAGTGTAGTTTCTGTATTTATAAATATTTATGTGCTTCCACAAACAAATTACAGGAAAAATATGTCAAAATACTTTATTGAAAGCCTCTTGTCTCCCCAGAAGAAGGAAAAAAAAAAAAGCTAAATATAAATCCTTTAAAAAATGTTTGTAGCGTGCTGTAAAATATTGTTGTAATCCTTATTGATATTTGCAGTCTGGGAGCCGTGAGGATTAATCATGCCTCTAATTTCTGAAGCTATGAATAAGCAAAGTAATTCAGTTGAACTTTCATTGACATCTTGCCAGCGTATGTGCTCATTAATGTGATTTGTCTGTTAGGCACATACTTTAGCAGTTAATTTAATACTTAAATGCCAATAAAAATTACCTATATGGTAATCGGTGGAATTCCGTTGCTGTGGGTGGGAATGTCGTTCACTTACTGCTGTTGTGCCTCAGGATTGCTTCTGCAAATAAAAGGTATGTAAGAAACACCTTCAGTCAAATGATGTTAAAAGATGCAATAATTGATCTTCAGAAAAGGCAGGGAAAGAAGTATTTAAATCAGCTATGCAGTGTGGTTTTACCGCAGAAAGACCACGTGTTTATGCATGTTTCCCAGTCTGATAATGGAATAACCAGGTGCACCAAACAGTCCAGAGTATTTTCTACTCAACTGCAATGACGTTGGCAAGAAAGCCAAATGTCTTGATTTGTGTTCTGCTTTAGTCTTACAGATTCATGACATCTGACAATCTTTTTTCCTAACAGTGATGGGAGAGAGAGAGAGAGAGAGAGATCTCCCTTGCTAACAACTGCCAAGATGCAGAGCATGCTCAGACTATACTCAACAAAGCCCTGTGTCATGCTGATCATTGCTGTGGGTGCCAGGTTGCTGACACAGATTGCAGCCGAAGAACGTTATTTTGAAAGGTAAGTGTGGCTAAGTAGCCTTTGCAACTGACGTTTTTCTACTTAAAGCCAGCCTATATTGTCTTGAGGTAGAGTCATCTTTGGAAATGTCTCTGGAATGTTATGTAGCACTGAGCAGGTGGAATTGACGAGCAGATCAGTGCATCCATTGAAAAGCCTGAAAAAGACAGAGATAGATGGGAGATGAGAGCTTGACACTGTGGGCTAATTCAGTAAAGCACAACTGAATAAATGAGAATTCCACTTCTCTTGACAAGTTTTCTGAGAGCGTATTCATTCCAGTTTTCCCAAGGTGAAGAGACCCAATCAGATGTATTGCAACCTAGCAATCATGGATGGCATTGCAAGCACTTCTGCTTTGCTGTTTGCATAGAAGTACTGGTATATTGTCTAATAGCTTTTGTTTTGGCAACTTAAAGTTCCTCTAAGTTCAGAGACAAATGGATAGCAAAACGTTACCTTGCATTTTTCCTGTTGCATCGGTATTTGCCTCACAGTGACGTGATATGACTTATGTCCAGGCTTATCAAGAGGGAAGAAGCCCACAGATATGAGTTATGTCAGCTCTTGCTGCTTGAAAGGAAGCGCTCCACACGTGACTAGGTAGTCTTAAGCAAAGGTAAATACAGCTATGCAAACTCCTTGATTTCTTTTGCTTCCAGTTTCCAATGTTGGTGTACAGATGCCCCTCCACAGCAGTGTTACTGAGACTGCATCAGTAGTGAAGACAAACGGCGTGTACAGACAAAATCGGCTGTCAAACTATTTCTAAAGTTGGTACCTAATCCTTAGAGGTTATGCAAATGGTGATGAGCAGAGAGTCTGTCGGAGAATGGCACTGAAAGGTCACAGCTCTGAGCATGTGCATTTCGCAGCCGCACTTGAAGGCAAGGTAAGAAGCTATCACTTGTTCTGTATCAAACATGCATGTGTGGGTTTGTGCGTGATGTTTTATGATTTGGCCAGGATGCTAAGCAAGGGTAATAGGGATACTCATGACAGTATTTATTTAGTGATGGTTATGTTTCCTGATATTTTTTCATTGTAATTAGCAGTAGAGAAACAGGCTTACATGTGTTTACACACCTTTGCACACCTTTACATGAGCTTACACACATCAACACACGCTTACACCTGCTCACAATCATTTGCATGCCCTTGCACCTCTTTATACATGCTTACGTGCACTTGCATGTGCTTACATTGACTTACACATGTTTACACGGGCTTTCACAGGTTTTTGTCAGAAGCTGAGTGGCAGAACTAAAATTGTGGTTACATTAAAAGGTCCATTCCAGAAGTACAGATTTCTCAAAGCTTTTTTTCTATCACATTTTTAGTAAAATAGTTATTCTGAAAGCTTGTAGTTTAAAACTGGCACACGTAGGGAAAAAAATGAGTTTTTGAGATAATTCTAACACCCAGTTTAAGGGTTTTATCACACAGGAGTGCTAACAGATATTTTATAGTATTTCATACAGTCAGAAAAAAATAACAGGGAAGAGACAGCTGACATTTTTGTCCTTTATACATGAGAGATCCTATAAAATTGCCACCATCTACTAGTAGAGACAGCTAAATCAATCCAAAACTGTTACATGAAAATAAGTAGCAATTCCAATCAGGAACAGAAAACAAATCAAAAACCAGAATGTGTGGTAATTCTGTAGCCAATTCAAATTAGTCCGTTCAAATCACAAATATTTAAAAAGTACTTGCTCTAATTTAAGATGGAAAAAATCCAGAAATAATTATTAAGCCTTTAGTACTGTAGCTGCTATCAGGCATATGCTTTTAATCAGGTGTTGCTGTTTTGGTATGGCTTGAACTCATACGACAACAAGGGCTAAAACATCTCACGCTGCACTGCTTACCCTGCTCTTCTGAGGGACGGGGTAGGTTTAAACACTGACAGTGTTATTTCTCACGTTACCTCTTGATCAGATCTCCCTGGTTACACTCACAATATTAACATGCTGCTGAATACAAGATGGTTTTAACAATTACTGCAAATAGGTGCTACCACATTTCAAGGAACGTCTCATAAATTGACTGTTAAAAAGCTTATGGGCCAAACAACTTGAGACACCTGAGCTTCCCCATGTGAAATTCTTCACACTTTCAGATTGTTACTGTCACTGTACCTTAGTCCCACGTAGGTTATTTATGCTATTATATGGAGGTAGCATAGTAACCATTCCAGATGGAACACAAGCGAATCTAAAAAAGGTTCCCATCTCTCAATCCTCAGAACTTTCAGAACATGAGCTATCCAGAACATAACAAATACTGAAAAATATCTGTTTAATGGAAAAGAAAAAAAAAAAACAACAAAAAAACCCAGAACAGCTATTTTATAAAATAGTCATTTTGGAATCCTGAATATACAATTGTTTGGATGGCTTTTACCTTGTAGAGCATCTGCTACTTTTCTGTATGTTTTAAGTTAGTCCTAATGAGAAAAAGAGTTTCTAGTCTGTCCCTCCGATGTTAAATATAAATAAGGAGCCATTCCAAACAATACGAAATAGAATATCTTTCTCTATTGAGTGTAATAGAACCAATTTGCTGCAATTGTGTCATTAAATGCCAAATGCAGCTAGTATGAAAAATGGGAGCAGCTTGGCCATTTTTCTCTGGTCCTGTCATCTGAACACAACTGCCTGCAAGAAGGAATACCGTCATCCATATGCTTTCTGTCAGGCTGCATGACAAATGCAACAGAGTCTTTGTGCTTCCAGCAAATATACAGAGAAAATGATATACAAAGCCTCATTTTGTTCTGATTTTTGGAGAGAAGGCATTGCACAGAAAAATGTATCATCTGCACATTGATCAGCATATTCAATCATTGCAGCTGGGAGCTTTTTTTTCTTTAGGAAAATATACTGTTTCACATTTCAATTCTACAGGCTTTGAAGTCTAACAAAATATATTTTTCAGTCATGGGGGCAAAATGGTCCTGTGATCTCCATCCAATCAATTAAGATCTAGGCAAAAAAACACCACAATGATCATGGATTCATAGATCACACATTCAGCTTCCAACACTGCTATGACTGTGAACCAGAGACCACAGCCAATCAATGAAGATCTAGGCAAAAAAACACCAAGCTGATCATGGATTCCTAGATCATACATTCAGGTATTTACACTGCAATGACAGTGAACCAGAGACCACAGCATATAAATTGAGATCTAGGCAAGAAAACCACCAAGATGATCATGGATTCATAGATCACACATTCAGCTTCCAACACTGCCATAACAGTGAACCAGAGCCACAGCCAATCAATTAAGATCTAGGCAAAAAAACACCACGATGATCATGGATTCATAGATCATACGTTCAGCTTCCAACACTGCCATGACAGTGAACCAGAGACGACAGCATATAAATTGAGATCTAGGCAAGAAAACACCACGATGATCATGGATTCATAGATCACACATTCAGGTATTTACACTGCAATGACAGTGAACCAGAGCCAGAGCCAATCAATTAAGATCTAGGCAGAAAAACACCAAGATGATCATGGATTCCTGGATCATACATTCAGCTTCCAACGCTGCCATGACAGTGAACCAGAGCCACAGCCAATCAGTTAAGATCTAGGCAAAAAAACACCAAGCTGATCATGGATTCATAGATCATACATTCAGCTTTTTACACTGCAATGACAGTGAACCAGAGCCACAGCCAATCAATGGAGATCTATGAAAAAACACACCAAGATGATCATGGATTCATAGATCATACATTCAGCTACCAACACCGCAACGACAGTTTACTGAATATGGTCTTAGGTTCACTAATATCTATGAAAACACCAAGCATTTGTAGATCATAAATTTAGTTTACTACACTGCAGTGACAATGAACCAAGGACCACATCCGAAATACTAAGATCTTTCCAAAAATACTACTGAGATGATCATGGAGTCATAGTTCATACATTCAGCTTACTACATTGTAGTGACAAAAAAACAAAGACCACAACCATTCAACTACAATGCATGCAAAATACCATCAAGACGACATGGATCACAGATTCAGTTTATACACTGCAATGCTAGCAAACCAAAGACCACATCCAATCAACTAAGATCTGTGCAGAAGAACTACCAAGATGATCATGGATTCACAGATCATAGATTCAGCTTACTAAATTGCAATGCCAGTGAACCAAATATGAGACCCTATCAACTAAAATCTGTACAAAAAACTTAGTACGCTGATTATGGATTCATAGATCATACATTCAGTTTCCTACATTATAATGGAAGTTTACTGGATGTGGTCTTAGGTTCACTAAGATCTGTTAAAAAAAAAAAAACAAAAAAAACCAGAACAAGCTGATCATGGATTCGTAGATCATAGCTTCAGTTTCCCACATTGCAATGACTACGAACCAAAGACCACAGCCAATCAACTAACATCTGTGCTCTTGATGATTTCTCCATTTGCATTTTACTTGCCTCATTCTGCAAAATAAGGGTCCTACAGAAACATAAGCTGATTGAAAAATATTGTATAACAGTAAATGTACTGGAGAAAATCAGTAATGTTATGCTCATCCTAAAAAAAAAGGTGATGTCTTACAACAGCATCCCTAAATCCCACAGAATGATACAGTAACATGTCTGGTTGACCAGAGAGAGTATAGATAGCTAGAGGGTTATCTTTATGCTTTTAGGCATCTAAATCTAAAACACATTAATGCTAATAAAATAATTAACCTTTTAACTGATATTTCATGTTTATCACTCAATCGCTTTCTCTTCTAACTTCTTTCAAATTTGTGAAGTAATACACAACTATTAATATTCAGAAATATTTCACAACTGCTAGGTAACTCTGGCAGCAATCACTCTTCCAGAAGAACACCACTGAAGTAGGAGATGCTAGTGATTATCTTATTAAAGGGACTATTTTTGAAAAACTCCTCTAAAATCCATATGCACAGTAACCGCTATTTGCAAGAGAAAATAGTTGCCCATGTGTGCAGTTGTTTCCGATGAATACTGAAATAGACATCTGCATAGACAAATGGATGCACATGCCAATTTCCTCCTAAGCTTTATAGACAGAGTATTGATCCAAAAACCACAAGAGCTTTTTGGAATTATTCCCATTCATTTCAGGGATTTTGCCCACAGATGTTATTTCCAATCTTACTCCATTGCTCTTTTTTAGACTTATAGCATAGTAAACCTGATATCAAGTTTTAATACTCTAAGCAGGGATAATCTCAAGAGGAAAACTTGATAGTCTCTAAGTAAGCAAGCACAAATCATTAGGTATCTTCTCCTGCAGTGGATATTTCCAAGCAAAGGTCAGTCTCACACACACATGCACAGGGCACTGTGAGCAGCCCACCTGCATGTACCACGTTCACATCAGTGGTCAGGTCTTGAGTAGAGCAAATCTGGCCAAGCAGGCAGCAGTAAACCTCTGGAACTGCTCAATTAGCACAGGAATGGATTTTCCTCTAGAAAACCTCGTTTACTTTTTTTTTTTTTTTTTTGCTTAAGTCATGGCAGTTTAGTAAGATGAGAGATGAGTTGTTCTTCTGGGCTTGCTGATTACGGTTTGAGCATCTTTAATTCACATCAGATTATGCGCAATACAGAAGGGTCCAAAAGGGATAGTTTATAAAGGAGATAAATTTATATAGAGTAGCCAAGCGCCTACTGAGGGACAGTACAGCCATTTATAAATGTTTAGAATTAAGCCACAAAGAAGGTATAACAAATAAACAAAAACAAAGGAAGATAAAAACCAGGAACGCATGATGCTTAGCAGCACAGCCAGTTATAGAGAAAGAGGCAGAATCTCTGTAGGAAGTTCTGTACCAACAGATACTCATCTACAGTCAGTCAAAGTCCACAATCTCAAACGTTGTTCATGAAGTATCAGAGGATAGTTAAAAGGTTCAAATAATAATCTTTCTGGGCATATGTTTCTGATTTTCAGTTACAGTTTAAAGCAAACATCTACAAATGTATGCTTTTCCTATCTATTAGAAAGCCGTATCTGGTCAAAGTAACAAAATAGTTGATAATTCACCAAAATAGGCATTACTACATTTGAAGCATCATTTTATGCTAACAACGTGCTTAAAATGTCAACTCTCTTTCATCTCTCTATAGGAATTGATTTCTATCCCCCCTCCTGTACGTTTATGAGCACTGATGTATATAAACGCATGTACATGACGTATGTACCTTGTGCAGGGATTACGTGGTGTAATCCTTTCTTGATTTGGCAAACAGGTTTGATTCGGTATAGTTAAAATATTGAGACAGATTCCAAGTTGCCTTCCAATTGCACCCATTTAAAAGGAGGAAATATTCCATTGCTTCTGTTCAGAATACAACACCATCAAAAAGAAAGATTAAGCAAAATTTTTTAATATTTCCAATGAAACTTAAATCACTCTTGTGACGGTTGTTCCCTCCATTAGCACATCTCACTGGACTGCTTTATAGCCAGATGCTGTGCCATACACTGGTGCTTTTTGCCACATCCCATCAGCCACAGCTGATTATTTCCACCGAGCTCAGCTTTACTGTAGTATTCAACGCTCTCGAGATACCTCCGAAACACTGCATCTTTCACATTCATACATACTCTCTTTTAATTACAGACAGGCTTAGATCAGAAGCTCATTTTAATCAGTAGATATTATTTAATCAGTAGATAGGGAAGAATTTTGTCTTATTTTAGACAAATTAAGGTCTGCACAATAAAGCAAGATTTAGGAGAGGGAAGGCCATGTTGCTTTTTCCAGTTTTGGTCAACAAGCACCAAAAGATTCCAGCATACAGACAACTTGGGCTTGCACTCAAGCTTTTCCACAGATTGCAGGAAATGCTCAGCTTGTGCAAGGAGACTGTCACAGCATCTCTAAACAAAAGACACCTGCTTGTTTGTTTTTTTCTTTTAAGAGAAATTAAAATCATATCCTTTAAAGAATTTCTCACAACTATTGCACATGCTTTTCCCCAGGCTACAGAAGATGTTGCACAGAGATCACCTTTGGAGTATCTAAATACTATCTATCAGTATTCTTCTTGTCAAAATTCTTCTAAAAGGTTAATAACAAAAAACAAAAGCTACACTGCTCACCAGTTTTACACTTCTGGATGCAGATAAGTTTGAAAGAACAGAAAAGGGTTAAGAACAGAAAGAAATACGAAGAGAAGTGAACAATGGATATTTCTCCACGGTTTATTCTATGAAGATTTTGGTAGAGAGTTAGTAAATTAATGTATATGATGGGAGTAAGAAGCATAGTGAATCTTTTGGAAAAGCAGTATTTTACTGCTGTGAATTTTTTGTCTTAATTATGTAGGGCTAGTGTGAGAATTAATTTGTATTAAACATGTGCCTACGCTTTTATTATACGCTCTTAAACTATCAAATTTATAATCTCTAGAGTACAGAGAAATAACTCTGAATAATCCCAGTTACAACTTAACTTCATCTTGGTGGAACTGCTAAATTCTGAAGTAGTTATTGCCTGTATATATTGAAAAATAAATGAGATCTTAATCACTTCTTGTAATCTTTTGCTTTCATAGGCAGCAAATACCATAACCTGTATGTAACACTGTGTGATTTATGCCTTATCTCCTACTCAGTTATTAGATTTGCTCTCAGAGAACAGTGTTTTGTTTTCTAAGTATGCATAAAAATAGAGTGGAACATCAAAACAAATTTAGGGTTTTGTGTAATGCTTCTGGAAAACTTGTGGTTACTTTAAATAGTTCCCTTATTCTCATAAAATCATAATCATTCCCATTTTCAGTTTGAATTAAATGGAAAATGTCAAGTCTCATTTTCATTGAAATGTCTTACTTTAATGTGAATGTGACCAAAACAGGCTTTGAGCGTAGATAACTGCTTAAGCTATAAAACATTTCAAGTACAATACTTACGTCTTTACTGTAGGCAGAGCCTACAGCACTGCTGCTATTCATTTATCAGCATATGTAAAAGTAATGAATATATAGGAGAAAAGTTCCTGGCTCAAAACAAACTCTGAAAAGCATGATTTTACCCTGCCTTTTGGCTGATAACATCCAACTTTCGTTTTGCTTGCCTGTTATTTTGATCCTACGCAATGAATTCCCAGATAAGAATTTTACTAAGCAACTGACTGAGAAAACTTTCAAAACCAGTTACTCTGACCTTGCCAATATAAATGGTAGCAATTAATGTAAAATTTAAATTTTTATATCCTCCTTTATTGTTGTTGCCCTGCCCCCATTCCTTTTAGTGGTGCTAGTTATTTTTCACTTGTCTCAGAAGTTCATCTCTACTTTTTGCAGACCAGCATGGAGTAACTGTATGAGCTGACGCTGTACGGCTGATGTAACAATCAGAATGACCATTTCAGCCTGAGTTTAAGGAGACTGTTCTATGTACTGTGCTGAACACCACCTGATTCCATAGATGAGAGACAGTGCCCAAAAGTAGAATGTGCTGACAGTTACCAATCAGCTAATGCATTTTTAGTTTCTGCATAACATTAGGATTTCTCAGCAGATAAGGAACTAAGAAGCTATGCAATATATATTACTGATAATGAAGTAAGAAGTTATGCAATATGTATTACACAACTACATTTTCAAAGTTGTAAAGGAAAACTTGCATTCTGCATCACTTATCCCACTGCAACGTACCAGCATATTTCCTCTTTGCTGTGGGGTTCATTCAGTTAAAACAACCAACGAACAGCACGTTCTGAACTAATTTATGGAATTTCATTTAACTATTTCATAGAAGTGGCCCGTGTTCCACTTTTCATTATGTTAGACTACATTTTGCACCCTCAGATGACAGAGTCCGGGCTTTTCTCAAGATGATGAGAAACGTTTCAAAGAAAGTTGATAGTGTCCACAGAAGTCACAGAGATGGGCAAGATGATCGCATTCTTCATTTCCTAATTTCATTTACAGCCACTACAGTATAAACAACTCTCATAGTATCTTTTATCTGTCTGTTATCAGCCAAAACAAGATGATGACCACTACCTTTGTTCCATTAAATCACATCCTGCCATAGCTCTTTAAAGTCAAAGAAAGTTTTGCTATCATTGATATTAAAAGCTGCAACCCTTTTAAAGTTTTTAACATCTAAACCTGCAGGCAGATCTCCACTCCCTCTTTATGAAAAGAATGGGAAAAATCAGGTTGGAAATCTTAAAAAAAAATAGCAGTTTTCTATTAAAATGGAAGTGGTTTTTTTTCCTGACAGGCTTATTCTCATTCCTTGACACTTTTACATTAAAAAGAAAAAACATTATACGTTTCTTTTTATTGGATTATTGTGGTCAATTAATGCTTTTTAACACTGCAACTAATGCCAAAAACATCTACGTTGGACCTAGTAATTATGTAAACCAGTAATTTAAGCTGATCTGCGCAATGAACTATTAACGTATTTCTTACTGAAATTGCATGTAGCTAAGTATTTCTGGATAAACTAAGATATTATTTTCAGGTTTGTTTCTTTCCAATGCTTATCCTTTATTAAAGTATTTGATTTTCCTTCTAAAAGAGCTATAGTCCTATTCTGTTAAATCTGTTAGCTCAGTGCGGTGTTCATATTATGCTAAAACTCCATTGTCCTGATACTGGGAATGAGAATCTATGTAGATTGCTCCAAAAGTAGTGCCTCCTATTTATTTCCAAGGAAACTACAAGAGACACAAAGTGCACAATCACACGATTTGTTAGAGCAAATTCTCAGCTACAAAACACTCTTTTTCAACATGGCCACCACCACTAGCTATGCATTTTCACCAGCAATGAACAAGAGCCTGCGTGCCTGTTTAGAAATATCTGCATGGCTGTCTCGAATGTTTGTTTTCATGTTACTGTCACCACTGCTGAAACACATCACCCACCACCTGCCTGTGCTCACATCCACTGTTTGGTCACCATAAGTGTCCAGCAAACGTCAATGAATGTCAGTGGATACCATTTTTACTGCACGGAGGAGTTCAGTGACACACCTTTGCTTCATCTGCACTTCCATGTCAGATGCCATTCTGTCAGCCTGCCTCTCTGCTGCCTTCTGTCACACAGCAACAACAAACAGCAGAATATTTGCGAAAGGTTTGACCTCTACTGGTATACCCCCTTCTGCCTCTGAAGTCACGGGCCAACAAAATAAAATAGGAGGCATTTCCTTTGGAGCAGCCCTCATGCAGTGCAGGAAGTCGGTATTATATCTAAGGAATCACTTGAGTATCAGAATCAATTTTTTTTCCAGTGCAGCTAAATGCAGTAATTAACAGGATACGCAAAGATATGCCACCTAAGGTCGCATTCATCCCGTTACACATGGAACAACATACTGAAATACAAACACCTCACTAAATTGCTGTATGTTGGACACACCACAGAATAAGGAGAATTCTATTTTATATTTTCTAAAAGCAAAGTTACATTCTAGAAAATGAACCTAACTGAATTTTTGGTCCATATATTTCAAAACTGATGAATATTTCTCGAATTTTCATAACCTGTGGTACTTACTTGCAGTAACAAATACAAAGATACATGGTCCAGACCCTTTATCTATGAAATAAATTGACCTAGAGAGTCCTGCTTTAGCTTTGGACAGAGAGTACAGTGAGGCAACTCAGTCCCATTTAAGACTCTTGCAATGTTCTTTTTTTGGTGCATGTGTGTAGAATTTTAGATTTCATTGCTTTTCTCTACAGTTTTTACACTGTGAAGAACGTTTCTGGAAACGTCCTTATGAAGATACTACTAAAGGTATACCAAAGTGGGATGTTCTGGATAACATCCTTATGACCAGAAATCACACACGCTGCCATCACAAGATGGTGTTGTTTTGTTTTTTTTTTTGCACGGGTGACATCTTTAGCAAAGTAGTTAGTCTTTAAGAAAAGGAAGGTATGAAGACATAGAGAGAAAGCCAAGTCGTGGCAATGGCTGGCATTACGCTCACAAAAAGGGAGATGTTAGACTATCATAGATGATTGTTTTATTTACCCTGTGTTTTCCTATCAGAGTGCTCGGAGAGAGATATTCGCAGCTAGAAACCTACTTCTCTTTGAAAGAGATTCTATCTAATTGCTTATTTTTATCAGTAAATTCTTAAAGTCTCTTAAGGCAGCTAATAGCAAACTGTTAGGAAAGCAGGCTTAAGTGAAAATAAAAGCATGCTAGTGTATTCAAAACCATAGTAGAGGGAATTAAAAGGAATATCACAGCATACCAAGTGCCATTACCACGAAGTTAACATTGAGCATACCACAGATGATGCTGAAACACTGGACTGTGCTGAGCACAATGCTTTCTTCTTTCTAACTATTCAGAGTTCTTTTCTGTCCAGTCATGTATAAAATTCCACTTCGTATTAAGCTCTTATGTAGCATGCCAATAAATAAATAACAAATCCCCCTTGGCAATATACATTACCTTGCTCTGAATTGCTATAAATTTTTCACATAATTCAGTTGCTGTCACGTTCTGGGAACATACAGACAAACTGTTCGCTGTACAATCATTTGCAGCACAAATCATCCGTTACACCCATTCTACTGAGAACTCTTTCTCCCCATACACACACATATCAAGCTTTTGATAAATTTCTGGGATAATTTTCCCTGAATTCACTGGATTTCAATCCCTTGCTATGTCTGAGTGGTATCACTTGCTATCTTTAAGTCCTTTAAAATGCCGAGAGGTAGGGAAGCATATTTCTGAGAAAGTGGAATCCCTCCAAGTACTTTTGTGACGCAAAATAAACAAAAATCAACAGAATTCAGAAAGAAGCCTCTACTGTTTTTCCAGTAACAGGGATTCCATTGGAAAAAAAAAAAAAAAGAAGAACAAATCTAGAAAAAAAAGTCTTGCATTACTGGTGCATTTGAGAGCTCAAAAGCAACATGAATACAGCTCAGTTGTCGGAGTGAACTGAGCTCTTTCCTGTAGGGAAGATCATATACCTAGCAGAGTACCTCCAAGAGAATACATCTCATTCTTTGTTCCTTTGCTCTATTTCTGTATCTTGCTCAACAATAGCAGTTTTCACTTTCACATCTCATTGTTGGTTGGTTATTTTTTGTTGGTTTTTTTTTCTCACAGTACATGCATTCACCACATACAGCAGCTTCTGCTTAGAGTAAAAGACCTGCAGTGCACTGCTCCAACCATTTCTGTCTCAGACACATCCAGCACACTGCTTACTCCAACTACACTGAACTCTCTCTATAACCTACTTGCTCCTTTGGCACTGCTTTAGAGGAGGAGGTGACAAAGCCTCTGAGCCTGTGCAATTTCTTTGCTTCAACAGCTCTTCCTTGAATATTTTCAATGCCTGTAAATCAGACTCTTCTTGCTCTGCTTTCCTAACATAAAGGGAAGGAAAGGAGAAGATAAAGATGACTCTCAGAAGTGCTGAGAATTCATCAGAGTTGGCGACTTCAGGTGCTCTGCTGCTCTTAATATCACTGCCAAATTTATGGGAACCTGAACTGAAAATGCAGATCTGTACACCTGACAAGTAGGTGCAAACAGGACTCACCAGGTAATCTGTATTTACTTATTTCTTGCTTAGTAGTTTTGGCTTCTTACGGAGCTTGTGTTCATCCAACCACACAGAACAACTCAGGTACTCCCTAACTCAACAAGTTCAGACCACGTACTGTAATCCTCCTGGCTTTCCAAATCCATAAAACACCACATAAATTACTGCACAAAGGTATTGTGAGAGTAATTACAAAAACAAAAGATTTGTAGAACATCTGTAAAAAAAGCCAGTTCTCATTTGGAGTAACTGTTTTCTTGCCTATTGATTTGTAACCACAGCATGAAATCCAGAAACTTAACTAAGCATTTGCTTTCCAGGAGGGGAGGATACAAACTCTGGAAGCAGCATTGTTCACTATATAATTACTCGCATTCAAAATCACAGATACAAGCTTGACAGTGTAGGATGCATGCTCCAGCACACTGACAAATTCTTAATATGAGTTAAATCTGACACAAAAAACTAACGTCTTGTGTTGGAGCCACATTGCTCAGGCCAGTGGGGTTGTCAGTGCCCAGGTCAAAAAACAACAAAAAACCAAAGCAAGGACGGTCAGAAACACAAAATTAATATAATATTTCCTCCCTTAAGAAGAGTCCTGGAGAGGTTAACTGCTGGCACCCTTATAACAGAATGGCTAAGTAACACCTATAAGATCTGCTCCTTAAATATAAATTAGTTATATAAAAATAGCATTAAGTATGTGTTTTATCAAGATATATCTACATTTTATAGATATTAATAAATTAAATATGGGTATATAGCCTACAGAAGACATTTTATATTCCACAACTTAATTTCCACTTTACACCTGATATTTAGAAAGAAAAAAGACAAAATGGCAAGCCCTTTTTCCTAATTAGATACAACCCTAAGCATTGTTTTCAACAGCCAGCTCTGTTATTTCACACCCAGACACTTGCTCTAACTGGGGGCAGGAATAAAGCACAGAGCTGTCGAGCTTAAATGTATTCAGGAATCTTATTTTTTCTAAAAGTCGTAACGGGGAAATGTAACCTGCCCTTTAGCTTCTAGTTCTGTAAAATTGCTGTCATAATGCTGAATAATAGCATTAAGTAGTCTCTGTGAGATAGTGCAACAGTGATCTTAGGCACTGGGAATGTTACGGCTGTAGTTGACTTTCACACCCACGCTGCCAGACTTCCACAACAAGCAGTGTGGCCGTGAATTAGCATGAAATTCAGAGTGGCTCTCACCCCTACAGCGTGAAGGAATAATTCACAGCTCTGAGCCTCTCCAGATCCTGAGAGCATCAGGCAGGAGCCCCTGCAGACCCAGCCTGGCAGACGGACGGCTGCGTGCACAGCTTGGGCTCACCAGACGGGCGCATGCAGTGTGAGAATGCAGCTCCAGTGCTAAGTGTCACTACTACACTGATATCAAGAGCAAAATTGTTTTTTCTCAAGTCTTGGGGAAACACCAGCTCCCTAATATGCATGCTTTCACCTGTAATCAATGCCTGTCATGCAAATAGCAGTTCTGCTCCTCAGTGAGGCTAAAGATATTATTCTGGTGAAACAAAACCACGTAGGGCAGTGTCCATTTGTGTTTGGCCTTGCCTCAGTGTCACCATTTTAATAGATAACAACACCTTGCAGGGAAATTCAGAGAATTGGGCAAGAGCTCCAAGATGATCAAGGTCAACCATCAACCTGACCTACCATGAGATGTCTGGAGGTGGCAGTAAGGGACACATGGTGAGTTCTTGCACATTCTTGCACCAACAAGAAAATAAAAATTATACAACTGAAAAGTGTTTTGCAAATGGAAGAGACATGCTATCCCACTCCAAGATGCAGTAATTTTCATGGTAAAAGTTTTCAAAGTATGATAGCTGGGAGACTAATCTTTGTAGTCCTGCGGTTTTGATTTTCACATTAGCAGCCATTGGAGACTGTTCCTCTAAATGGTAAAAGTGCTAATAGAGACATACCAAATTTCTGGTGGTCCCTGTTACTATGGTGAATATCACTACCTGTTGACAGAAAGCAGTAGTTCCACTGTGACCAAGCTTTTGTTGAAAGGTTCTGGAAGTTCTATAAGAACGTAATTTTGTTTTCCCAAACCACTTGCACTTGCCAGAGAAGTAAAGTCTATGACACAATCTCTAGAAATACTAGCTGACATTCACAGTTGCTTTTCAGTGAGTCCATTTTGCAAAGAGACTCAGTAGAGGTCAGTCTCCGATGAAACAATAGAAGATGGAGTTAATGACTCACATCTGCAATTTTGAATTATTCAGCTAACACTGGAATACTAACCACAGGCACAATAAACAGTGGCTAATACAAGTTATGCATGTTTTATAAGGGAAAACTGTACCCTCTGGAGTATAACACTCATTTCTGAAAAGAGCAACAGTATTTTCACAAGCATCTAAGACCAGACTGCTTTCTGCAGTGAAACTTCTCACTGAGTTAAACAGGAGTTTTATCTAGTTAAAGTAGACAGAGTCCAATCTATCAAACACACATGTCTACTTTTAAGTCTTAAAAACAGGTGGAAATTTCACCATCACGATCAACTGCTGATTCCCTGCAGCTTATGCAACTCTCCTTTGCAAAGACACATTCACAAGGAGTAACATGTTGGCCACACCAGTATGATCACAGCTTTGTACCACTGCAGGGCAAGGTGTCTTGATGGATGCCTGGGATCAGCCAGGCTCTCCTCAACTGTTCATAGCTTTCAACGCCCCTCAATTGTTCCCAGCTTTCAACAGGGAGATTATGGGGTTACTAGAAGGGGCTAAATGTGACCAAAGTACCTTTTCCCACTGTTGGGAAGAGAGTCTAGTATGGAAATGCCAAACAAAACGCAGAGGAACTGAGAAAATAGAAAATAGCAATTACTGGACTGTGCATAATTGAGCACAATTTCAGGCAACTCACAGGCAGGCTGCAATCTTAGGAAACCTGGGCACTTCCAATGTTCCAGTCAGCCACTACCTTCTTCCGATCTCTTATAGCTGGAAAAACATGTACAAATCTCACTAGCTTTTTCCTTAGTTATCCAGGAGAGCTTTCCAGTGAACTTGCGGGGGTGATGTCTCCACTGCTACCGGTCTCTGTGTTATTAATATCAAGCTTGCAAGACAGAGAATAGTAAAGCAAACAAAGTAGGATTAACAGCTAAGCTCCAAACATCCACAGAAGTGCTTGGCATGAAATTACAGTCTGCAAAGGCATAATATAAGGTGAAAAGAAAATTTCACTTCAAGTAAGTGACTCATGAACACCTCTGATGATGGAGAGAGGCATCAGGAGAGCACAGCCACAGGCCGTTAGCTCCAGACCTGTTTTTATCTAAATCTGGCAAAGTCAGTATTTTTGTAACTGACTGTGCTACACTGAAAGCGCAGCTCACTGAGCTGTTAGCCATTTCCTTGCACTCCTCATCTTCTATAACTGTTTCCCTATCCTTAGCTTGGGAATATAGTACCATGTAACATCGACCTGCCAGCAGAATATTTGTTCCTCTAAGGAATAAGTGGCGCTACTTCTAAACAAAAAAGTCTCTACTGAACCGTTACAGCTGCTCTTTTAACTCCATTACAGAGCAGTCAGCCAGGAACAGAAGATGACTTAAGGCAGGAGAACTCATGACCCACCAGGAATGCTACCTTATTTCCAGCTGTGGAGTTGTGACCCCTCAGGAGCTGAACCATTTAAGAAGTGCCCGGCTATCACAGAATCTGTCATCCGAATGCTGCTCTCTGTCTTCAGAAGAGCTCTTTCATTCACAAAGATACTAGCAGGGAGTTCAACTGCCATCTCTCTGTCATCTCTTGCATGGCGGTTCTATCTCTTCCAGTTAATAAGGTTAAAACACAGTCTGACAGTAAAGTAACACTGAATTAAAAGTGAGACTTCAGTTATTGCTATCCCAGACTTTCTGCTAAATGCACCACCTTCTCCTCTAGACTTTACTTCAAGGGAAAGACTCGAAATGTTTGGAGAAATAGCATCACTACACTCACACTGCACATCCCTGTCCAAACCTTTTCATCCAACAAATGAATGCAAATACCCATGAAAGAGGCCATAATAATTTTGATAAAGAAACAGAGAATCGGCAGTAAATGACGGTGATGCACAGCACAGGAAGCGCTAATATATTTTATTAAAAATATTATTGGCGTGCTACTTAGGGGTTAAAAGGTGTCTCTCAGTAGATTTCATATTCTCTTACCACTCGCAGATTCCCCTGAGCTCAAAACTTCCCATATCTCACTCATTTCCACTCTCACTAGTTTTCCTGCCTGTTCATTCTTCCTGCAAGAAGGTCCTCAGGGCTCCCCTTTCAATATGGCAGGTTTTCACAAAAACAGTATTTGTGGCCTGTTCATGTGACAATCCATGCATTTCTGCAAAAATAAGTGCCTCAAAACAGCAATACCACATCTGGAAGATGTAGAATACATTTCTGTCAGTACATCCCATCTCCTCACTTCCCCAGGCTGCCTTTAGGGTCTTCTTAACCCTGCCCTCTTCAGCAGGCTCTCAGGTAAATGAGACACTTGCAGGGATGATGTTACAGAAGCAATAAATTACGTTTTCCATTATTCTAAACATAAAGATGGATGAAACTTTTAAAATTCAATGCATGGATTTGGAATTAGTAACTAAGTTTATGATCAACTCTGAATGGCCCGGCTCTCTTCAAAGTTTCAGTAAACTCCTGCCAGTTTTAAATTCCCTATGTGTAAATAAAACATACACTTTTCCCATAGGTTTCAGCTGGGAGTGGGGAGTCCATACCATAAAGATGCATTTGAACTGATTTTGCTCATACAGGACTTGTTTGCTCTTCCGAAGAGCCAAAAAATTGGTTCACTAGTTTTTTAACAACCTGATGGTTCCTTTCCAAATATACAGAAAAGCATTTGCTGCAGGATGCCTTTGCTCAATCCTACAGAGCAAAAAGAATTACAATGTACGAAGTTAAAAATGGAGATTAAAAAGAACATAAGCAGAGCTCAAATTAAATGAGTCTCTTATTTTTTTTATTTTTAATAAAGCAAGGTGGAATACCGGAGCCATGGCAGGTACTATTGGGAGATAAGAGAATAAAGCCACTGCAACCAGATCATAAAGAATATGCAAAGAGGTATCCGAGGTAAAATAATTTAAGTCTATGAATCTGGAAGGATCGATAGTACTGGATATGGACAGAAAATGAAAACAGTGGCACCTTATTTTTGTTGTTAAATACAAAATTCTCATTTCCAGATCATTTCTTCCTACTGGAAAGAACACACAACACCAACTCATATTTCTGACTCAAAAAACAAACAAACAAACAAACAAAAAAACCTGATAAAACCATTTTTTTTTTTAAATCTCAAACTTAAACCTTCCCGTAAAGTATAGGTAAATACTGTCTTTTAAGTGTCCCTTCATCAAAAAACAAATACATTGCTGAGACTGATGTAACAGTTCTTACCATCTATTTGGCATTCACATACAAAAAAAAAAATGAATCATTCATCAAATCTACAGCTGTGACCCATGGCTCACAGCCACATTCTCCCCCTTCTGTCCAACACAAACTGTATAATACTCATCACCATTGTAAACTATTATGGCAGATCTGCTAAATGCAAAAGTTGGGCTGGTTGGAAATTCTACTGGTACACAAAATACCTTTACAATATATTACACCTTCCTATTTCGATTAAACTTATTACTTCATATTTCAAGCAGAGGTAAATATTCCCTTAGTGGGAAAATATTGTCTATTTGTATAAGACTTAATGACATAAAGTAAATTGCGCTGTTGGTTTGAGTTAGACATGCAATACACTTCAGTAATGTGCTATTTCCTTCTGTATATGATGCAATTCTAAGGAAAACATGATTAAAAAAAAATTGCTTGAGATTTCCGTTTATTGCTTTAAAGGTTATTACTCACATCAGCTTTGTACTGTTTTTCTCCTCATCAATTTCCATTATCATTTTGATTCAGAGTAATTCTCTCCTTGTAGGTTTGCCCAACAGATTTTAAGTGAATGTAATACTCTGATTAAAAAGAGAGCAAAATAAAATAGAGGCCTGCTGATTCCAAATGTTCTGAAAGATAGTTAACAAGATCCCCATTTCACATTTTCATTGAAAGACATTTTCCTTGAAATCTCTACACGCAGTCTTCTCCAATCATTACCATAAGTTAACTTCGCCCAGGAATTTTTCCTGTTTATTAGAAACTGTACAGAGAGATGCAACCAATGCTTTCCTTTCCAATGTTCATTTTCCAATGTAGCAAAGAATGTCTGCCTCTCTAACAAAAGAATATTAGATATACGAATGCCAAGCAAACTGCAGTACAAGAGAAACAGAAATCAGAGCTGTTTGTGCTTCAGACTTCCAAAACACTTGTTGAAGAACCAGAGTGGCTGGTCCCACGTGTTGTATCACTTGTTCACCTAAAACTGGTTCCTGTGCAGGCAAGAAACTGAATGAACTGAGGGCCCTCTGATGAGAAACTATTTTCTACACAGACATAAAATGATCTATGATGCTTTTAAAACAAGTCTGTTAAGAATAGCTCTTTACACTTACTTTCACCTTTCCTTAAATACTAATTACTATTCAAGACAAGATTTTAGGATAACAATATGTTAAGCAGAGATGTTTCATTTTTTACTTGCCGAGTCTTGCCTAGCAGATTTTCTTTGAGTTTAGTCTGACTAGAATTAATTTCTTATTCAAGTTGTTTATTCAGGCAGTTTTTACTCCTTTCTGCTCAGCTGCCTAGAGTAAGGCACTCCAACAGTACTGAATGTCTGAATGTACTGAAGAGATAAAGGTGTATTGTCACCATATCACTGTACACTGCTCATTACTTGATGGACTAATGACACTAAGTCAAGTATATAATGCAGGTACTCTAAGCATATGCAGGCAAAGTTAGTTACTGAAAACATAATAAAAGATAATAAAACAACTATGACAAACAGTTGTCAGGAGTGCTGTAGATGGGATTGGTCCATCTTCAGCTGAGGTGTACAGTCTCCTACCAACATGAGAAGCAGCATCTATCCTGGAGCAGAACAAGGGACCATCTCAACCTGGGCTCTCTGCCTGCTATTAGCCAGAAAATGATGCATAGAAAAGATGCAGAATAAGACTGATAGTTACAATGGCTTCCCCAGTTATGTACTAAGCATCAATCATTCTCAGCTGAGGCACGAGGTAAAGCTATCATTTACTTATCCACTACAAAAAGAAAAAAATGAAAATTTACAAGAGGCTTTCCACAACAGAGAACAAAAGGTTTCGAACTAAATGAGTAAATAAATAAGAACCGAGACACCACCCTGGGAAATGTAATCGTTTCATTATGTCTGTATCTTAAAGTTCTGTGTGCCTGTATGCGTGTAGAATTATAATAAACTCAGAGTCCAGAAAATAAGCTTACAACTAATACCAAGCTGGCCGTTTTGGGGCAGAGAGAGGCTACTTTGCAATTCCTTACAGCTGTAGTTCTCCACAACAGTTATTTTCTGACTCATGCAGTAAAATTTGGGCCAGCTCACTAGAACTTGCCATGTACATCACTGGAGGACCTCCCGTGGAGCCTTCCAAACGCCTGTCCAGGCTGCTTGCTACCCTTCGGAATTGCAAATCATAATTCTCATGCCAGTTCCACCTTAATAAACACTGTTTTGTAGATTGCATTAAAGCAGCTGTGCTGCATAGTGCAGCAGAATTTTGCAGTGTCGAGAGAGCTAGAAAGCTCTGTTATTGGTGAGCATCTCTGAAACCTTGTGAGGTTTCAGAGATGATAAGGTTGGGAATTTCTTGCTTATTTCCAGTCAGGTTTCTGTACCTGGCTGCTCTAGGGTGAGTTCCACTTTTCACTGCAAAAGCACTTTATCAGTTCAGATATACAGTTTGAAGGACTAATGCTGCTTCTTAAAGGGCAGTTACACGTGGAGGGGAAAAACAAACTGATTCACTGAAGGTAGCACTTCCCTAATTCCATCTGCAAGAATCCAATCACCTCTAGCTGATGCATTCCTTTACTACATGTAGACCCACTTCTGTGTTTCAGCAGAATCGCAGTTTAACCTGAATTCCTTCTTTCCAACGTAATCTTTTGTCTATTGGAAACACACATGAGTAAATACAGCTTCCTAGTCTAATGCAGAATTCTGAAAGGATTAAATAAAAATCTGAGCAAACATAATATTGTTATACGTTTTCACAAGAAGGCTGATGGATTATTAAGTGCTCTATGGTTTTTGAGTAGGGAAGCAAGCTAACTTGGGACATGTCTCAGCTTACATTAGCAGGATTTTTATACGTTTGCCTCATCAACTGGATTATGAGAAAGAGCAAAGTCTTTTAGAGAGAATTTTTTAGGTTCCGCAACAGCAAACCTAACATCTAAAAATGAAAGCTAAAAAGATTATTTCATATATGAACAACTAGCAACATGCAGTCATTTATAACTACTAGCTGAGGTTTCTGTTACCCATCTGAACTCTCCTCAGACCAAATGAAAAAAAAAAAATAGCGAATTCATGTTTATTTTAAGATAGAGGTAAAATGCCTACCTTAGGAAAAAAAAAAAGAATGCGATATATCAAAGCCACAAGAAACATTAGTGGATGTAGCACATACATACATACCCACTGATAAACTACTACCCAGAAAAAATAGCCATATTCTTTAGCTTTCTGTATTCAGGTACCTCGCATGCTTGGTGCAGTTTGAGATGTAACCCAACAAGTGAGCTTTGGGCACCAGCAGATAAATTCTTTTGTGGGATGAAAGAAAACTAATTACTACAGACACTTCTATGCTGGAGCAGTTTTGGGGCTCCAAACCTGACCTCTGATAACACAGCTGCTAAGTGCATGGGATTCCCTTGCTCAGTGCTCACTAAGCATCACACGACCCTACAATTTTACCGCAAGCAACATTTTTGCAGACTTCCATTCAGTTTGCTCACTAGTTGCGTGAGATCAGACCTTAGTGCTCCCACGTGGCATATATTCTTTAGGTGACTTGAACATTCTGTTGGGTAAGAAGTTCTTCAGCTTAGCTTTCCTGCAAGTCTGTTAGGATTATGTCCTTTCCCTTCTTTTAGCAGGTGCCAGGAAAAAAAAGAAAAAAGAAAAGCAGGCAACTGCTCATTTCTTTCTGGTGCTTTGCTGTGTGCTTATTCTCTTTTTAGTTTATCTAAAATCCGTGACTGCTAGGTAACTCTCCCCAGATAGGAAGGAAAACTTTAGTGAGCCATAAAGAAGTCTGGAATTTAAATTTGTTTATTTTGATTACCATTAATTCCTAGTGTGACCATCGCTGCTCACTGCAATTTAACACTACTGCACACTTTAATACAGCTTAGGCAGTAGGCTCCAGCTCCAGTGAACAAATGACCATATTGAATGGCCCGTTCAAGTCACTGACTTTTCCTATTTTTTCTTGGTCACACAGAGTACCATATGTAAAGGAGTGAAGCATTAAATTAGATGATGCTCAGAACTTGTAAGTTTCTTTTCACACTGCCAAGCTACAGAAGCTGAAGTGTAAGCGTTTGTTGGGTTAAGAATTGTATTCATTTTTTCAAAACAGAAACATTATGGTGTGCACATTTGCTCAACTTAAGGGAAGATTTCTTAAGGCCAAGAGAGAAAAACTGCTCTGATCTTGGGGTTCCAAGTTGAATCGGAGCAGGTTGTTGATTCATTAATGATGTAATTAATTAGAATGAGTGAGCTCTAACCGCAGGATTCAATTCAACAATAAAACAGCTAAACCAAGCTATTCAACATGTACAAACAGGTAATACCTGTAATTTTCTAAGCACTCATGAGTAAGCAAGCCCAAGAAGTCCAAAACACACAGATCTACATGCACATACTCAACTGACATGAAGTGATTTCAGGCAGAATGTTTCCTATCCCCAATGCCTTCATCCCTAAGCAAAATATACCTGGTAATATATTAACCATCATTTTCCGTAGTTTCATTTGAAACGGTGACATGTAGCTGTCACTTTTGCAGCATGACATTTTTTACTCAGATTTGAAGATATGAGTAATAACACAAACTTGATAGGTACTTGATAATGAAAATTTTCAGTGTATATCCAGGAAAACAATTAAGGTGAATTAATCTTCAAATTTAATACATTGCTTTTGAAGAAAACGCATAAATGCATACAGCAAAAAAAAAATTACAGTCAGTCTCAGCAACATTTTTTTTCTTCCTTTCTAAGCTTTGGCAGGCAATCTACATTAAAAAGGTCTGAATTTTAAGTTGTTTGCAGCAAGTACAAACAGCATTTCTTATCACATGACATCA